AACAGTGATAAAACCTTTTGCTTTCCTCACTGTGTTGCAGTTACACAGCTCTAATGGCCACTAGCATTTCATCTCATCTTGTCCTATACAAATAGCTTTTTACTATGGTATTTGTTAGTTGCTTTTAAAAATTATATTTTGACATCTTTGTGATGATTTAAAGTTATTTTTTAATTAGTTCAGTATTTCTAAAAACTGGAAGATATTTCTGACAAGTTTTGATCTATAGAGGGTGCAAGCCTGAGAAACTTTGAGTAAGTTTTCAAACAGAAAAGCCCAAATAAATTTAACATGTAAAGCATTTTGTTAGGAATTAGTTTCAGTAACTGAAATTATCACAAGCTATAAAATGCAATTTACAGCACCACACTTTGAACAGGGTATCTCCCTCTTTTTATGCTGTATCATTAACAAGAAACAGAAAATGAAGCCTCAAACATGGACTTTAAATATTCACAGCGCAATACTAAGTATGCTGGACTAAATCTAGAACCACTAAAATAAACTATAATTACCCTGCCCAGCTAAGTTTTTTTACCATTTATACTTCAGTCAAAATCAGTATTTTAAAGACTCTACTATAGAAGCATAATAAACTGAAATCACTGACATACTAATGTTTAAGAAAAAAGTAAGTTATACTTTGAAAATAAGACTGATAGATTTTTGTGTGGCAATAATGGATGCAGTTTTTCTTGACATAGTTTCTTTACATATTTCACATATGAATCTAAATTTTTATTATAGTTACAAGTCAGCTTTTTTCCCTCTAATTTTCAGTTACATCTATGTGCAGTTTCTACTTCATTGTTTAACTGGTATTTTCTATTCCAACTACTTTTAAAAACTTCATAATGAGAAATAAGTGGAAAGGTAGAATGCCCACACCTGTGAGATGTTACAGGTACAAATAAAAAAATTACATGTCCTTTACTTACTGTTCTTTGATCAAGTATCCCCCCTTATTACTGTCTTTGATGTCTGCATACATAAAAAAAGTAGGAGTTAAGGCAGAAATTACTGCTTCAGTTCAGAAAATATATTTAAATACTTACTCTTCACATTGGTAATAGTTATGGTATACTAATTGTATGACTAAAGGTATGGTACGCATCTCAGAGCTAAAAATTAACACCAATAATGAAACAGAACCAAAGCAACAGCTACATGAGATGAAATTAATCAAGCCCCTCAAGCTTATGTCTTGAAAAATACTAAATTTTTTTCACTGTGTAGCTTGAGCATAGATTCAGCTAAAATAACTTCCTGATTCAAAGGTGGCTAATCTCTGAGCATGTGAGAGCTGCTGAATGCATACTTTCTAACATATAAATACAAACTTACTGCAAAGTAGACAAAAATTCTTTATGACACACATTAGCAGAACAGGCAAAATGAAATGAAGCAAAAGTTTGCTCTCACTAACACAAGTGCCACACTGACGAGATTAAGATCACAATATTTCAAAAAGGTGTATTTTACCCTTATTGAAAGAAAAAAGAGATATTCTTGCTAATAAAGCCAATAATATAAAACTCATTTTTGCCTGACTACAATGTAATCTCAACAGCAAGAAAAGTTCAAATCCACTAAAAAGCCTATGCTAATATATGCAGCACTGATGTATACTAGCTATTAAATGTCTGAAGATATATTAGTGCTGTCAACAGACTGTTAGCATGTCCCATTTGATGAACTTTCAGCAAGTCATGAATCTGAACATGCTTAAGAAATCAGTATTTTATAGCAGAAAAAAAGTTGCATTTAAACTAACTTTTTTTAGGAAAGATTGTTTCAAAGAACGGTAACAGGAAAACTCCTAGGTGCCTACATTGCTTTGGTGTCTTGTTAATTAAACTCATTCCCAATCCATTTTTTTCTAACGTTGCAGTCAAGAAACTGGAGAATAAGTTAGGAGGTTTCTCTTAATCATGTTTGACTTCAGAATTTCACAAATGAGCAGAATTCTGGTTAACTAACAGTTCAGAAAAGGAGTGATAGGTAATTACTTTTTTTCCCCTGCAGAAACCTCAGCTGTGGAACCACACAATAATCATTACATTTCTAAAATTTATACAAGATTATGAAGTTGGTGATGGCAAATTTGTCTGTCATTAAAATGCAGCCAACAATGGGCATTATGATCCATTCCCAAAAAGCATACTGTATCCTTTTAACCAGAGCAAGACTGCATGTCAACAAAATGTGGGATACTTATTATAGCAGAATGCAAGAATGTTAATCAAGAGAAAACATTAAGCGTGTTAAGCACATACTACTTCAACATCTCTCAACGAACCTAGTAGCTATGTATGCTAACGAAAGACATTTCCTTCCCTATGAGGCTGCTCAGTAACACTAATCATTTGTCCCATCACAGCCTGGTTTAAGATTAATTGACTGAAAAATGAAGCTTCATACACTACATTTTGCTTACTATATTACATTCATTATCACAAGTCTGCTTCTGCTTCCTACCTTGTCTTCTACATTAGCATTGTTAAATAATCTGACTGAGCTCATGACAGATTATATGAATGTTCAACTAATATATTTCTGAAAAAAGTCCAACTGAATCTACATTCACCAACAAAAAAATAAGTTCTCTATGAAATATGGCAGGAAGTCAGCAGAAGGTCATAGGAAAATAATTATTTGCACCCATGTTCTCCATAAAGTAATTTAGGACTGCTTCACATTTGGATGCTAATTTACATGGAGTATAGTGGTGAAAGCACTTCATCTTCAGACACCACTGGAAGAAGACATGGAATAAATCAACAAAATAGTTACAATTCACCCTTGCTAGATGCAATTAATTTAAAATATCCAAAGGAAATCAAGTATAAAATTGAATCACCAATGTAATTGTTGTTAGCTTTTAAAATAATCTTACTTTAGGCCCCAGAAACTTCCTGAAGTTCTTTAAACAAGGAAAGAAAACTGACCTAAGTCAAATTTTCTACTTGGATTTGAAATGCCTTACAGGAAAGCTCCATACTAGGAGCTCCTAAAGAAACCAAGATGCTGTATTTTCAAGGGCAAAAAAATCTTACAGTTACAGAATTGCTTTAAATGTAAGAAATAAATAATAGCAATAAATGCTTAGTTTACTCAGTGGGAGAGACTTACCTGTAGTGTCCCACATGTTCAAGAAACTTAGGAAGACCTCCCACCAGACCAGGTTGCTCAACACCTTATCCAACCTGGCTTTGAACACTTGCCAGGTCTGGCGCATCCAGAACCTCCCTGGGCAACCTGTTCTAGTGTCTTACCACCCTCAAAGTAGAGAATTTCAACCTAATTTTAAATTTCTCCTCTTTCAATTTGTATCCATTACTCCTTACCCTGTCACTAGAGTTCCTGACAAAGAATCCCTCTCCAGCTTCCCTCTAGATAACGGAAAGTTGCTGTGAGGCCTCCATGCAACCTTCTCTTCTCCAGGCTGAACAGCCCCAACTTTCTGTCTCGTCTTGTCTGTCCTCGTAGGGGAGATGCTACAATCCTCCTATCAACTTCTTGTCCCTTCTTGCTCCAGCAGTTCCCTCTCTGTGTTATGTTGGGAACATGAGAACTGTACACATCACTCCAGGTGAGGATCTCACAAGAGCAGAGTAGAGGGGGAGAATCTACTAAACTGTCACACAATATCCATGTTTGGCAATAAAAAATCAAATCACATGACAAAATAAACTGCAAAGAACTTCTCAGAGCCATACAAGATGATGAAAGCTGAATGATTTATTGAGAAATACAGCCTGAGAATTCAAAAAATATGATCCAAAGCTGTGTGGAGACTGTTTATAATCTTTCAAAAAAATCACTAAAATCTTCTAAAAGCAAAACCCCTAAATTTCAAGACTCAAAAAGAGGACTGGAATATAACAAGAGGTAAACACTTCACAATACTTAAAAGAATGTATTTTATCATTTCTGAAACAGAATTGTTGCATTATTAGATTAAGTGGTACTTTAAAAATCATGTAAGTACAGAATAAGAATCTTATAACAAATAAAGTTAGAACATTAACTCTGGAAAGACTATCCGAACAAATCCAGGAGATACTGCATTCTGTGTTTTTGTTTTACAGCAGGTTACTATTTACACAAACCTTGAGGAATTATTCACTATGGAGGTTTTTTAATATTCAGCGTCCTTTGGGATCATGAATATAATCCTTGATTGCAGACCTACCTTAACTCACCATGCTAAGCAAAGTTTTATCTTTAACAAGCGTTATTACCTTAATTATTTTCACTTCTCTACTTAATGAAGGGCAAGAATGTTAGTAAAACCGAAACTCATATGTACACCTCACTGTTGTACCTATGGAAGAAACTAAGCAACAGCATTTACAAAAACAATGTGGGTAGATAATTTCAAAGCCTTTCAAACTCTCTTCAGGTCATAAATTGGCCTTTGTAAAATGTCAAGAGCATACATATAAGACCTGGTACACTTGTAAAGCTGGAGGCCTGTTAGATGGATGTATTTATTGTAATAGTTCCAAATGGCACACTAAAGCTTAGAAATTTTTAGATAAACGCTTCTCCCCACCATAAAACTTTCTTTACATCTATGATATCAAACTTATTTGTGTGGTTGGGAAAAGTGTAACAAATCAGAAACAATACATTTCATTTTCATAGAGGAAATTCAGAAATTTCATAGTTTTTTCAGTGAATTTGTTTTCAGTAACAGTTAGGTTTTATATGGTTTTATTTTTATTTTTGGTGTCTTTGTTAGAGAATATAAATATGAATCTTGTTGAATAGTGACACCATTACTCTTTCTTTTCCCTATGATAGATTTAACTGTGAAGTAGCTTTGACTAGCAACAGAAGAAACTGTTACAGTACTGCAGCAGCATAGTTGCATGTTTGTTTTTAAGAAAAAAAACTAAAACCAACACCAAATGGCAATTTCCTTTAAAACCTTCTGATACCGAAGCTTAATTTAAACAAAGAAACAACTTTTATTAATCTAGAAGACGACTCACCTGTACCTGATATTTTGGATAAGAATTCTGATGTACTCCATTCAAAGCATTATGTGCTTCCTGAAGTTGCACTTGCAACAGACAAATTTTTTTATCTTTTTCAATTAACTGATCCTGAAGAGAGGCACAGCTTTGCTGCAGTTGAATTTCACTTGTTTTAACAGTTTCAAAACATAAACTCAACTCGTTATAAAGCTATGAGAGGAGAGAAGAGAAATAACAGGATTAAAAATAACTCCAATGCAGATAACCACATTAATACAGAAAGTATAATTTAAGTAACTTATCCACAAAGATCACACTCTTTTTTACATTTAAAAATTTGTTCACATTTGTCCTCCTGCCTTCTATCCAATTCTATATATTTTAAAATTGCAAGAATCACTAAAACTTTAAGTTTGAAATAAGTTTTCCAGAAAAATACAACTCACAGTAGAATATTATCAGTTTCAGTTGCTTCTTTATAGCATTTATCGATAGAAATGGCCATCTAAAAATCAGGATTGATTTTACTTCTTGAACAGTTTATTTAAATACAGAAAATACAAAAGGAAAAGAATATTCATTACCGAGAATAGGAAAAAAAATTAAAATATCTTTTCAGGGAATTAAATTAAAGGAACAAAAATACCAAATACTATCCTTGTCTTTTATAGTTTCATCTTTTAAAACTAACATTTTAAATATAGCTTAGATAGAAATACAACGAATCTACTAATGCTTACTGCATTTTGTCTGGAGTGTAAAATGGTTGTTTAATTATTCTGTGGGAATTTTTTTACATGAACTATAAACCCCAGAGATTATACTGTAAGTTTTTATCCCTGGCTGTTGTTCAACTGTTCTTTCTGAAACTAGAATATTGTAAATATATTTTGCAATTGCTTTAGAACAGACTTCACTCACACAAAGAATTTCTAAAACAAGCTCTAAATAAACTAGTAGTAAATACCATCTGACAAAAGAAATTTCTCTTATTCTTGCAAAATAAGTTAATAACACCCCATTCCTCCATTGTTACCCTTCTTTTTCCATTTAAGCATCTGAACATTATTTAAAATAATTCATTGTTTAAAAAAAACCAAAACAACACACCAGTTTGGGAAATAAACCTGCAGTTGAATAAACAACAGTACAGATTCTAAAGGAATTACATGACTACACCTCTACTAGCTAACCACAGATTCTTTATTCTCCTCCTTTCAGTCCTTCATTCCTTTGATTGTCCTTTTTTCTCAAAATGAGCAATATTCTATCTGACTATTCTACCATAAAATGATCTACAGAAGGCATGAATGTACACCTGCAGGGAACAAATTTTCTTTGGAAAATCCATCTCTGCCATTCAATAAATAAATAAATAAATAAATAAAATATGAAAATTAGATTTTCCAGACATGTTTCATTCAATAATGTTTGTAAGCCCAAGAAATTAACACAAGATATTTTACTTATAAAAACACTATTTTACTCTTCATTTTACCCCTTTTATTGCCATTTTTTTAAAATTATACAATCCTTTCTCCCTTTCATCTATTTACATCACTTAGAAGTTAAAGTCTTTGAAAAACAGTCACAACTTCTTGAGTGATACACTGTCTACTTAACATTTTCTGAGAAATTTGAAAATAATAATCTCCCTTTCCTTCTTCCTAACATTTTCTACTCCCATGGTCTCTCAAAATCCAGTTAGGACAAAGTAAATTACTTCTTGCCTATTTCCAAGGCAGATCAGAGATCATGTCTCTCAGGCAAAATTAATTCAAAGTCCAGATATATTGATATTTCAAACGGCTCCAAGTCATTAAACACTTGCATTGAAATTTTTGTGCCTACTGAAACTTTCTTTTTTATTTAAGAATGCTTACATCATCTCTAAAAATGCAAGCACAAGATTAGCCAATTTCTTATGGAAATGAGTCAGTATCTCACAGGAAAATAAACAGGTCATTTATCAAAAACATGCATTTTTAGATAATGTCCTTCCAAATGAATGGAACATCAAGACACAGTTACTTCCAGCTATAACTATATAAGCTCATTAGCTAGATCATACTGGTATGACAATTTGCTGTTTTTATGACTAGAAGTACTTAAATGGTTGTAATTATAATATCTGAAAGGTAGCATCCTAGTAAGATGAATGGAGAACATCAAAAATATGATGCCTTTTCCTAGTTGGCAGCCACATCCCCTAACGTAGCTAATGGGTATTTTTGGTAGTGAGTATTTGTCAGGACAAGACAAATAGCACATCTTTTGACTTGCACAAACTTTTCCAACCTTTCCAGCTTTGAAAACAGTACTGAAACACAAAACACATACATTTCAAGTATAAAACAAGCTAAAAGCTATGTGCAAAAAAAACATTCATACCATTCATCTCTTTACAGTAAGGTTTATATATATTTTTTAAACACCCTCAATGTATTATTTAATAGCACACAGATTCTTTTTTTAAGGAATTTAACATCAGGAATTTTAAAAATTAAAATTATCTATACAAAAATAAATAGTTTCATCTACCGTCCACAGATAACGGAACAGCTTCCAAATTTACATCCCCATCTTTTCTTCTACTGTTTTTGTGGATTAATGAGGGCCTAATGTTTATACTGGATTATTTTGGGGTTTACTGCTCATTTCTGACCCTGTTTTAGAAGAGGCACTAAAATTAATCACATTGCAGTAAGCACATTGTAAAATACAAACACATTGCACAGCACGATGAAATAGGTCTATCATTAATAAAGAAAATCAGGTGTAGAGAACCAACATAAAATGGAGATCAGATGATTAGAGAAGGAACATTGCATGGAATAGTCAAAGAAAGACAAAAATATTGTAAATTATTTATCTCAGAACAAGCAAGCTTCACAGAAGAAATGACTGGAATCTTGACTGTACCTATATGAAGGGTTATTCCTTACCTGAATGTCACAAGACATGAGGTTTACCCAGTAAACTTGGTAACTCCCCAACAAAGTTATGAAAAAATATTTATGTTCGCAAGATAGAAATAAAAAGGGAAATATTTAAAATAATTATTTATAACATTTTATGACACTTCATATTTGGAAAAAGAAAGCATTAGCAAGCGACACAAAACTGCTCTGCAAAAACTGTTGCACTGACTATACTTTGAGAATCTCTTTCTAAGACATTACAGCTGCCCTTTCTCTGACAGGCAGCACAGATTATTGCAGGTGAAGGTACTTAGAAACAAATGAGGAAAGATTAGAAGTATCTGAAATCAGTACACTGTAATAAATTTAATCTGTATGATACAAGAGCAGTATTCATCAGTCAGAAAGGGTAACAGCTGAATTGCAAAAAATAAAGTATCCCATATTTCTTAGCTATCCTAACAATTTTCTATATTGATTTCCCTGATTTCACCAGAAAAGACTTTTTGGTACACCTTTGAAGAGTTACTTAAAACAGAAAACATAATGCCATCAAGCAACTTAAAAATATCCAACCAAAGCCAGGAATTCCAGAGCCAAAAAATGGAACTCTAATGCTTGCTCATATGCAAAAAGAAAAACATTTAACAGCCTGATAATGTGGGATGAGGAAGTACTACTGATATACATTAAATATGTGTTATGGCAAAATTAACTTAGAACAGACCAAAGAAGCTGAGGAATTCCAATAAAACCCAGTAAAATTAAATAATTAACCCATGCTACTTATCATATGGTATGGTATGGTATGTTAGACAGAATCATAGTGCAGCTGGAAAAAACCCTGCAGAGTGAAACAGTTGAAACAAATGACCAACACTAACAGTATAGAAGTGTGCAGGATTTATTTTGAACTGGGTTTAGATGGCTCCTGTGCACTACATGCCAGCTAACAGCTGGGGCATACTTTTCAGTTCCAAAATAATTCACTTCCATAATCCAAAAGGCATTTAGTTATTACTCTCATGAACTTTTCTGGGGTATCAACTAAAGTACAGGGAGTGGAGCCATTTAGGAGATTTCCTTCAAAATTTCCCATGAGGAACTAACACTAAGGTAGATCCATCTAATAAAATGTAACAGTAGCCATATATGCGCACTGGGTATAAAACAAATATTCTCCAACATTAAGAGTTTTATCTAAATGCTCACATCCTAAAAAAGTGTATAACAGAGATCTGAGTAAATAAAATCATAAAATCACTAGAGAGGTTGGAAAAGACTTTCAAGACCTTTGACCAAAACTCCTCATGTCAACTAAAACATAGCACTCAGTGCCATGTCCAGTTTTTCAGGAACCCAAACATACAGTAATACTGACCATATAGTAATCACACAAATTAAGAAAAAGTTAGTCTAAATTAAGACCTACTAAAACTATAATGGAAATTATCACAGCACCATTGCAGAAAGCCATGTTACAATCCACACTGTTTATGAGAACTCAAAACGAACAAGGACATCTGCTGGTAAAACTCTAGGGTGTAGTTGAAGAGGCACTCCAGACAGATTGTACATAGCCCTTTCATGATGTTTAGTTTTATTTTATTTATAGATTATTAATTTTTTTCCCCAAATACTTGAATATTCTGCAGATACCAATCTACACCACTACACACAGGAACTACTGCACACTAAGAGTATCAGTACAGGGTTTTTCAAGCATAAAAATCAGTGCCCGCGAGTGCACAATTTAACATTACCCTCAGAGAACCAGAGTCTACCCAGGATTTATTCTGCTTTAGCCTACAGGCACATCTGATGCAAAAATTTACTTGCTAGCATGTGTCCAACTGTACTGATGTTTGGTACACAAGAAACAAAGACTGAGCTAATTAACACTTCTCAACAACAGAAAACAGTATCTGAGTTTGAACTGAAATGCATGAATCTGCTAAAGATCTGAGTTCCTCACAACTTAACATAAAAGGTGGACTAGGAAAATGATGGTTTACTTATTACTGGTGTGGGTATCACCATATTTGACTGGACAGATAGTTTTTCTCTTATCGTGTGTGGAAGAACTTATGCTTTTCATTAAAAATGAGTAAGAACCTGCATTGTTACTACACTTTACAGTTTTTATTTTGTGAATTTGATGCTGCTTTCATAAAAATAAACACATTTATGTATTTTTAACTCTTCTTAAAGGTGGTTGAAGTTACAAAAAATACTGGACGTGGTAATTTAACCTTAATATGGTAAATACAGTAACTTGATGTACTGATTACAGATTCTCAGGCTTGAAGGAAAGCTATCTCTACACACTGACACACTAGCAAAGGCAACTAAAGGTAAAAAATTAACGTCTGAAAATGTATCTATCACTTTCATGTTCTTCATCTACTTGCTGGTGTACTTGATGCAGACTTCCACAATTCCTCATAATTGAAAACTCTTACTGTGTTTTCTAATTACACCAAAAATCTAACTACTGAACAATGTTTTCTTCATTACAGACTTGCACTATACAATTATCCACAGTATTCTCTACTTAAGAGCCAAGTTCCAGGACATGAATTATCATTTCCCATTGAACGACAAATTACTTGAGTATTTCTGCTCGACTAGAAAGGCCTTCCATTGAAAGACTTAATCAGCGCGATTAACATAGGTCCTAAAGGCCACATCAGATCAAGCGAAAGTACTGTGTTATAAAAACAAGGGCCTTATACTGTAGATTTCAGAAAACTGTGATAAGCTGGTTAAGGACTTCAGAATCTCTTCTTGTCTTATTATCCCTAGTATTGATTGAAATCTCTCCACCTTGAAATTGTTGGTGAGGACAAATCCATGGAGTCTCATTAAATCCAGCACAGGAATGAAGTCCCCAGAGCATCTGGAACCACTAAAACAGATGCTACACATTTCAGAAAAATATTCTCTATCCTTGAGAATGTGAACTACACGGTAACATGAAATAGATACCAATTTGTTTCCATAAAAGCTCTAATATAAAGGAGTTACGTAGAACACAGTATCCTTAAAATTTGCACTTAAAGAAAAAAAAGTAGGATGTCAAGACAACGCAACTAGATAAAACAGATCACAGCTCTTTACACGCCGCTCACTACAGCTAGACTTGGCAGAGAATTTGTGGTCTTGACTGGATTTACACATAATCCAGTGTAAGTTTATGACCTTGGTCGGGTTTATTAGAAAAGTTTGGGGTTTTTTTCAGTCCACTGTTTCTTACTACACATTAACATCAGCACAAAGATCTGTTCTTCTCAATGGGTAGACTGTTAATATGAACTTAGAATATGTGAGCCAACCACACTGCCTGAGCTATAGCATATACTGCCTATCTGACCAGAGAGGTCACTGATCTTGCGGTAAGGGACAATGTATCACAGGATGTACATGCTGATAGGCTCAATGCCATTTGAAGCAGTATGAAAATATTCCTTTGTGACTGTGTTTATGGAGTAGCTGACACATCCTTATCTAGCTGTTGCAGCCTGCATATTATTAATACAGGGAAGAAAGAACAAACATTTGTCTGCAATAGTTTGCCTGTCTCATTCAAGGAGGAAAACAGACTTTTGTATGATTTCTATAGATACTGAGTTTTCCAAACACCTGCTGTGACTTCAGTAGAACTGTGTATGTTGTGATTTGAAAAATGCACATTATTTTGAAGCGAATACAGTTGGGTGTTTTATACAGTTCTGATCAGAAATACAGAACATGATTGTCACGATAAAGGAATTTGTTTTCCCTTCCAAAGTTCTCAACTTAATTTGCCACAAACATTATAAATTCTATTCCACACCAACTGCGGGAAATTCACTTCTCTTTTTTTTACTTCTCTTTCTTTTACTTTTTTTTTTTTTTTTTAAACATAGTTACATTTTATCTACATTCTCTCTTTTTTTCATTCTATGATTTACTTTGTCTTGCACCAAACAGGTAAACTCCTGTTGCCTCGATTATTGTTCTTAACAACTTTAGTGAAAGTCTGCCTGTTGCTTGACTGGGTTACTTTTGCAATGTATGAGACTTAACGTCTGTCATCACTACAGTCAACAGTAAACTGCAGAGCTTTGTAGGGTGGGGGGCATTTTCTTCCTTTTTATATACGGCAGCTCTTTATGCTGGTATTCCACAAAATTTATAATTCCACAAAATTTATAATGCAAACTGCATCACACAGTACAGCATTAGGTACACAAAAACGTGCTGGGCACTATGAGCTATAAAATGTTAATCAAAGACATCTTTAGAAACCTAGTACTGATTCTGGGTTGACTGAGGCCTAGCTGCACAATTTTATCACAAACTGCACACTCTACATAAGATGACAAAGGGAGACACCTTTCTGGGAAAAAGGACTGGCAGTATACAATTCGCAAAAGTAGTTCCAAGATGGTAAATGGGGTATGAAAATTATATATACAACTTATTAGTTGTCTTCTTCCTTCTCAGTTTCCTATAAACTAAAAAACACATGCATACAACTTGGTAACCTAAAAGAAGTTCTGAGTAGTACATGTGTGACAGCTCTTAAGGGTTAACATTTTCCCTGACAGTCACCAAAAATATGAGATTGATCTTCAAGAGTAAATATTCTGAACTCGTTAACCATTAAAAAGATACTTTGGCAACAATTTTTGCAGTTTACTTTGATAGAGTAGTATTTTGCATCTTAAATCACTAAAATTATTTGCAATTCCCAAAAATATTTTGTTCACATGTATTAGGAATTTATTCCACCACACTAAGAAAAGCAATATGGAGAAATCAGTAACTAAAATCTCCTGTCCTCCAGGAGAGGAAGAAATAAACAAAAACATTACAAAAAGACAAATTACAAAATTACATAAAGACATTTATATACTTAGCAACTCATTTCTCTTTTTCTTCAGATGCAACAAAATCTTAATTTTCAAGGCTCATCAATCCAGTGTATGCACAGGGTCATACATGTTGGTATGTAACTGAGCCAATAAACTCTGCTACTCAACCGTATTTTTGCAACACTAAATATATAGATATAAATAAATATATTATATATTATTACATTGTATATTATATATATTATAAATATATAAAGGATACAACGCTTCAAAGTGCTTTGAATACTCTGTCCACTGATATTGTACAGATGGATACTAAAATGAACCCTATGATCTTAAAGCACAATAACATACTTTTTGATATAATGTTATTTCAGCTGTGTGAGCATCTTCTTGGTCTTTCACTACTTTTTGTGTATTAGCATTGAGAACCTGAAGCTGCTTTATCAGCTCAGACTGCTGTGCTGTATATTCAGTGTTTTGTCCACAAAGGTTCTGCAGCTCCTGTAACTCCTTCCTGTGCAAAAAAGAGCAATAAAAAGAAATTAAGAAAAAGAATGCAATCCATTAAAAAATTGTATTCAAATAATTTTATTGTAGATAATGAGCTTTCTATTTTCATTTATTTTTCTGCCAATTACCTTGCAAACACCAGAAGTTACATACAAAATATCACACACTTTTGAGAAATATCTACAAAACAGTTTAGTTTCAAAATGGGATGCTTTTCAACTTCCCTCTAATGCATTAACTGTTCTAAAATACTCACTACTGCATCGTTTTCTAATCAATATTCAGTTAACTATTTAGCAATGTCAAAATCCAAAATATGTAGAACACATCGACTGTAAAATAAGTTTAATTTTTTTTAACTAGAACTATCAGAAGGAGATATAAGTTTTTCTTAACTTTCAGAGTGTGTTCGAAGCAAGTCTCTTTTCTGAAATGCATCTGCTTCCTAGACACACAAAGTATGTTTGTTGATAAATTATTTTTTGTCTGCACGTACAACATACTGCAACAACCATAAGCAAAATAAGCAAAAACTTTGGTGCGTATTATATAAAATAATAAAAAGCTCTAGAAAGACAATAATAGGAATCACACTGTAACATAACTATAGGATAAAGCTACTATAATCAGCCTGCTTGATAATTTAACTGTACTGCTGATGGATTTTCTAAACTAAAAAGAAAGATCAGTAACTCTTACTTATTATGAACAATGATTAAAAACTTAGAATATTTTCCGTAATATATATTAAAAGTTCAGATAACTCTATTAATCCCTATTTACATATTTTATGCTTTGTTCACTTTTTAATTCACAAGCATATCTCATAGTAGTATTACATACAGATACTGAAATATACATTTAGCACTTCAATTAATTTTCTTCCTTACTTCCTCAAAGAATTGTGTCTGTAACCTCCAACACATAAGTATCATCTTTTTGCCCAGAATAATTATTTACAACAGGAGTTATCATTGCAATTTTATAATACTGCTGAGATGTCCAGGCAAATATTAGCATACAAAAGGTAAGCAGAAGTACCAACTTCATTGTGTTTCCCAGAGAAAACGCAGAATGACAAAGAAAAACTTTTAAGGGAACTTTCCAAAAAACATTCCTGGAGACCTTTGTCACTATGTCATAGGATGGTAATTCAATAAACATACATCTAAATAATTACATTTAAATTACATGGACCCCAACAGGATAGTCAAAAACCTAATTTTGTTAAAATGCACTGTTTAAAAAAGCCTGTTAACAGACCAACACAGGATGACACTTAACATGCTTACTAGAACTTAACAGTAAGCCCTACCATTCTTCATGAAATGTAACATAGTTCCCCAAAGTTAACAAGGGCAGAAGTATATTAAAGACATTAAGAAAACCAAAGTACAACTGCAGAATGTGCTTCATATGTACTAATTTAATTCTGTTCAGAAGCACAGCAGCAGAAACAAGAACACAGTGATATATCTGCACTTTCTGACAGATGTACAACAGGCCTCCAAACAAGCAGTTCAAGTAGAAAATGACAAAATTTTTCAATGTAGTTAAAACATGGATTATATTAATTTTGCACAGGTTCTCCAATCAGATCTTTGTTTTGTTGTGGAAGGGAAAAACACGGGATAACATTGAATCCTTAGATACTGCTGGAAATGTTGGCAGTAACTATTGCCAAAACCAGTCTCCTATATTGCTGCTCTTTAATTAAACATCGATGCAGTTATCTGTGTCTGTCACCCAAGAATGCCCAATATTATGTGTTCTTTAGTGGTCTGCCCACAAAGTGTATTAAGGTCAATGGGAATCTTTTTTTGTTGACTTTTGTCAGGCTTTGAGTGAAATCCTTGAGGGGAGAGGATAGGGGGGAAAGCTAAACCTTGCAGTCACACAAAAACTGCAGCACAGTCAGAACATTCGCTCATGTTAAATCCAAGAATTTCCAAGTGTAAGGAAACTCTGTCACGACCATTACAACATATTTTAAAAATCAAACTTTATTTATTCAGATACGTACTTTAACTTGCTTTCCTCTTCAGTGAATGAGGCACTATTTTTACATTACAAATCAATGGGAGATCCTTCTTTTATTTCATTTTTACAGAGGAAAAAGGAAATTATGCTCCTCCTTCCAAGAATTATTCAGTACTGATGATGCAATATAAGTAAATACACAGAATTAAGCACCTTTGATAACAGATAGGCCAACTTGATGATGGGAGCTTTAAAGTAGGAATGGTAGGGGACAGTGACGTTGATGAAATAACAAGTGAGGAAGTTGTGGACTGGGTTAGCAGCAAGAGACACAGGTAGGTATGGACAGAAAAGACCTTCTGATGAGCAACAGAATGCTCAGGGAAGACTATCTTCACCATATGCACATAAATCAGGGAGTGCTGATAGTATGGGAGAGGTTCTTAAGGATCTTCCTCAGAAATAAACACAACTGGGTACCCATCTGAAGTTGCTGTTCAAATGCACACAGCACACTCCCATGGAAAATCCCTGGAGGAATGAGAGATCTATCTGCAGTTGCAGGGCTCATTGGGATCATAGAGACAAGCTGGTACAATTCACATCACTGAAACACTGACATGGATGGATAGAGGTTCTTTAGGAAGAACTATCTCAAGAAGAAGGGTCTGGGAAACTACTAGGAATCCCTTAATCCCTGGGAAGGTGATGAATCATGTAAAGGACAAGATAATCACTGGGAGTGGTCATAAGGAATTCACAAAGTGGAAATAATGCCTAACTGGCCTGGCAGCCTTCTCTGATGAAATTACTGTCTTGGTGGATAAGAGGTGAGCAGTGGGTGCAGTTTGTTTCAACTGCAGAAAGGCTTTTGACATTGTCTCCCATAAAATGTCCGTAGATGGACTGGTGAAGTACAGACAGCAAGTTTCCCTTGAACCTGGCAGAACTACCAAGTTTGAAGAGTTGTGAACAGCACCACAAAATCCAGTTGGAGGCCAGGCACTTGTGGAGCATCCTAGGGGCTAACACTGGGGCTACCATTTTATAACATCTTCATTAATGCACAGAGTGCACAGTGGCAATTTTGCTGTTGACACAAAAATGGGGGGTGGTAATTGTTTCGACAGATGTTTGTGCTGCCATTGAGAGGGTCCTTGACAGGTTGGACAAATGGCCTGAAGTTCAACAACGACAAGTGCAAATTACTGGCCCTGGGGAGCAATAACTCCATGTAAAAGCACAGTCTGGGGACTGACAAGCTACAAAGCAACTTATCAAAAAGTGCCTTGGGGATTCTGGTGGACATCTGATTGACCATCAGCCAGTGATGTGGCCTTATGCCAAAGGCCAGTGACATCCTGAGCTGCACGGAGAATAGTGCTGCCAGCAAGGGGAGGGAGGTGATCCTTCCCCTCTATTCAAAAGTTTTATGGCACATCTTGATGCTGTGTCTGGTTCTCCCCAGTAAGGGAGAGACATGGAAATAATAGGTTGAGCTCAATGAAGGACCATAAGGACAATGAAAGCATTGAAGCATCTGCTATACATAGAGAGGCTGGGAAAGCTGGGGCTGCTCAGCCTGGAGAAGGGACAGTTCAGAGGTGCATAATCAAGATGTATAAACACCTGATGGGAGTCTAGAAAGAAGATACAGACAGACTTTCCTAAGTGATGCACAGTAACAAGAAAAGAGTCAATTAGCGCAAATAAAAAACAGATTAAATTCCAGCTAAATATAATAAAGTGGTTTTATCCTTTAAAAGTGGTCAAACAGTGGAAAAGACTACCCAGAGATGCTACAGAGTCTCCATTCTTGGACATACTCAAACTCAACTGGACACAACGATACTGGATAGCCCTGTTGTAGCTGATACTGCACAAGCAGAGGGCTGTGACTGTGTAACGCTCCAACACTGGGAGCTGCCAGCCCATGGACTCAGCCAGGAGTTTTACTTTAAAATATAGAGACAGTGTCAAGAGAATAAGCCACAGACTTGTTCCCAAGGAGTTTCTTTATTAATTTTGCAGAGAAAATAAGGGAACTTGGCAAAGGTTCAAAAATGGCACTGCCCAAGTTAGACAAGTTGTTGCACTACAATACGAATCCAGCACATATTACTCCACAACCACTGAAGTAAAAATCCAATAAGGAAAGAAAAGGAAAAAGGAAAAGAAAAAAAAAATCCTTGACTTAGGATAAACACAGCATAAAAAACCCACATCAGTTTGTTGTCAACACCATTCTCATTCCAATGAGACAGCACTGTCCAAAACACAGCACTGTAACAGCTACTGAGAAGAAATTACCTACAGCTTATCTAAAACCAGGACACAGGGAGACAGAGCAGCAGGGAGAATAGAGACATTTGCAAATAAGGTCTTTTTCAGCTCCAGTGAATAGCAAAGAATACAACATTTTGAGAAATTTGAAGTTCAATGATTTGGCCCACTCAGACTATCCTAAATGGAAACCACCAAGTAGTAATTTTTCTTACCCTGACTATACAACCTTAAAATGCCTTCTTTGCTGTCCCTAGTCCTCTCACACATATATATACTACTGAGAATAATTTTAGGTGATGAATTCTATTAGTCCATTGCTGAATTTCACAAATTCCATTGACTGCCTCTTTCAATACAATTTCCCAATAAACTTGCCTATTTTTATTGACTTTCTGAAACCCAACTGGTATTTATTCCTTTTAAACATGAAAATAACCAGGTATCATTTTTCTTGCAGAGATTTCAACAAATACAAGGGTAACAATTTAGGTCAGATGGATCAAAAATATTTCTTGGGGCTTTTTTTCCAAAATCACTTAGCTACTGACTCCCTATAGAAAGATTATTTCTGCCTGTAAAGCAAAGAGAAGCATCCATACCAATGATTTCTACATTCCAACTGCAGCTCTTCCGCTATAACCACAGTTTGAAGGAATATTGAAGGGGATATTATTTGTCTAACATAGAAGTGAAGTACTGTGTATGCCTCTGAAACTAAGAAGTGAGAAATGGACAATTCCCTGACAATCCACCTAAAGTTCCCATTGTCTTCTGACATTATCTTCATTCTGAGGAATTCAGTAGTCTAGTCAATTCATATAATTCATTTTGTTCTTCATTTCTTTTCCAAGACTCAAATAACACATTACTAATCTTACAGATTCAGTGTAAAGAAATAGTGTGTGAGACCTAAGATAAAGCTTAAATCACTTCACTTTAAACCTTTAGCACAGGCCTATGTAGATTTTTGCTGACTTGTCAGATTTGACTCTCATTAGAAAGTTAAACTTAGGTAAAAGCTTTTTCAAGTTTAGGGCATTTAGCCTCTCTAATTAATATTTATGTCACTAATCATATTGTTATTTTGTTACTTTCAGTAGAGATTGTTAGTTCTCTGACCCAATGCTAATTACAGAGGTGTACAAGTCTACACCTACTCAAAAACTGGTAAAATGGACCAAGTGTCAAAATATATAGAGTGAGTCTACATATACTGCTAATCTTCCAAAAGCCTTACATCTTGTGGAAGAGAATGATGTCAAAATACATCGTTGCACAAAAATACTTATAATGCAAGACACTGCTTCGTAAGTGGAACAGTAGCCTTTTTGAGAAGAAGGTAATGAAATTATGAAATACTTACTTAGCTTTGATCACAACACAATCCTTTTGGAAGAGTTCTTCCTGTCTCACAGCTACCTGAGACGACAAGTTACCGCATACACTGCGTAACTCTTCTATTTGTTCTCTTGCCTCTGCTATATCAGTTTTCAAATTCTGCAAAGAAAGCATTTTAAATGCATTAAAGATAATGTATAGGAAATAGTTAAAATCTACTATGCATGTTATCTATAAATGCAGATATATGGCTGTGCACATACATACATGAATACATTTACTGTGGTCTAAGCAAATATATATATGTGCATATGTGTATATATGAAAAATGTGAAATACCAGAAAAAAAAAAGGTGTATTTCAAATTTTAGTTGGCCATCTGTTCTTTAAGAAGTTTCCCTTAACTCTGTTTCGGGATGTGAAAGGAGAATCCTGAATCAAATCTTTGCAAAACAATAGTACCCTATTTAATTACTGATTGGATTAAACATTGTTTTTTAAGCGAAACTCCTTAAAAAAAAAGAAAAAAAAAGGCAGCTATACATTCATTGTTTTAAACTCTCAAAAAATTCACAGTAATGTGTAGATCAACTAAAAAACATAGATAAGCTTCATTTTTGAGAATGCTTAAATCTTGCTCTGTTTTTGCACTGCTAATTCAGTGCAAGGAATAGTTTCTTCAGGAAAGAAATACCATACAAGAAAACTTCTGGAAGTGCTCTGAAAACAATGCAACCAAGCAAGAGTTTGCCTTTTATCATAAGCCTTGCTGCATAAGTTAGTTAGCAAACTGTGAAGGTGTATATGAGAAATATAGCAGCAAGGCAAGACCTCATTCTCTCAAGCAAGACCTCAATCTCTATGTAAACCTTGCTAGAGTGCCTTCAGAAGAGTATATCAGTCCTTAAGAAGTTTCGCATGACTATTCTCCACAAAGTGTTTTGAGGAAAGAATGGAAACATAAATATTACAGCAATATATAGAATGGAGTTTCAGAAGGTGGCAACAGCCTTAGACCTGCTTTGGTATTACACTACTCACAGATGAAATAATTTGTTCTCAGTAAGGCAAATATTCCAGGATTCATCAATAATTTAAAATAAAAACCCCATAGTAGAATAGCATCCCTAATCTACTGCCAAGAGTATATTAGTTTTCCATAGTTTTCCATTTACATACAGACTTAGTTAAAGAGATAAAAATGCACATTTTTTCCCTTTCAGCAATGATGCTTCAAATATTGAAGTTATAAAAAATGTTTTTATAACTGAAAAGTAAATAATTAATTGTTTCTCTTTAAACATAAAAATGTCTTATACATATTAAGAAGTGTAGAATAGTACTACAATAGAATTCTTTGAACTTGGACAAGAATTATGTCCTGCTAGCAACAGTAACATGGATGTGAGGAAACAGCAAAATTCACAAGTGAATGACATAGGAAAACTGTTTGTTTCTTGATAAGTCTCAAGCTATATATCTGATGTACCCAAGTAATGAGCCATCATTCAATCTCAAAGACTTGTAGAAAGACTTAATTTTTCCTTGAATAATGAAAGATTTCAGAATTATAGGAGATAGTTCACTATCAACACATGAAATTTTTGAAGTGTACCCATCATCCATTGCAGAGTACAACAAAAAGAATAGGTAACAAACGATCTGGCCATAAATACAAATTAAGAAGTTATCTAATGACAGAATTAAAAAATTTTTAAAAGTATCTTTCAGTACTTCACCTCATTTGTGACATATGCAACTTCAGATTTTGCTTTCAACTGAGAAATAAATCAATTCAATGTTCTGAATGTATTTTGAAACCTTGAGTTTTTTTGAGAGCATTACTGAAAAACCAAAACATGAAATCAGGGATAGGGAACAATCAGTTATACAAATGGCATAGGTACTGAGATATCATAAATTGACATACAAAAGCTGTGCTGAATACTGAAATCAAAAATCCAAGACTGAATCATAGAACAGTTTGGGTTGAAAGGTTTAAAAATTCACCTAATCCCAATCACCCCTGCTGTGGGCAGGGACACCTTTCTCTAGACCAGGTTGCTCAAAGCCCTGTTCAGCCTGGCTCTGAACACTGCCATGCCTAGGGCAGCCACAACCTCCCTGCGCAACTTCCTGTTCCAGTGTCTCACCACCCTTAAAGTAAAGAATTTCTTCCTAATACCTAACCTAACTTTCCCCTCTTTCAATTTTTACCCATTACTCCTTGTCCTGTCACAGTTCCTGATGAAGAATCCCTCTCTGGTTTCCCTGTAGGCCCCTTACAGATACTGGTAGGTTGCTCTGAGGTCTCCAGGCAACCTTATCTTCTCTGAGCTGAACAGCCCAACTTTCCCACTCTGTCTTCATAGAGGAGGTGGCTCCAGTCCCCTTATTGGCCCTGTAGCCCTTCTCTGGATTTGCTCCAACAGTTCCATGTCCTTCTTATGTGGGGGACCTCAGGGCTGGATGCAGCACTCCAGGTGGAGTCTTACCATAGCAGAGTACAGGGGCAGAAGCACCTCTCTCAACCTGGTGGCCACATTGCTTTTGATGCATCCCAGGATGTGACTGGCTTTCTGGGCTCTGAGCACACATTGCCAGGGCATGTTGAATTTTTCATCAACGTCATATTTTCAATCATGATATAACCTATAATCTTTTACACTCAAATTTTTGAGTATCTCCACTTTTTAACATCACAAGGAATTCATTAAATTGCCTTTTTTGTTGATATAGTAGCCAAAAAGGTTCACTGCATAAACCTGCAGACTGAAAATTTACCTAACAGAAATTTTCATAATCTAGGTTTTCAAACTAAAGTCCATTTCAATTGTACATACTGACTGTTTAGAATTCAATCTTTTAAAGCATATTTTAAACAGTACTATTTAAAACATAAGTCAAAACATCAAATAATTCAGTTATATGAGAAAGAAAATGCCTATTTATATAGACAGTACAAGAAAAAGTGAATTCAAAAGAACTTCAAACATGAAAAGCATAACAAAAATAAGGCATGAGGCAGCACAGTTGTGTACATTATAGACTCACTATGAATTAACACTTAGGTTTTTTACCTGTAGCTTCAAAGCCTTCGAAAGTCACTTTCAAAGACAGTAGCTTTGTTTTCATGGGCATTTTTTCCCCCATAATATATTATGACAGAAGAGAGCAATTTTTCAAGCTCCCATTTCAACAAAACTCTCCTGGAATTAAAATCCCAGGCTCCTCTTGACAGAAGTTGCTGTTTCTTTCGAAGTTCCCACCTTCAGACTTTAGGAAACTTTAAAAGTACTGTGCTAACTGGAAATTAAAAACAACCGAAAACCAACCAGTAAGCAATTCCACTACCTTTCAGTTCACCTCCACTTAAAATTTGACAGTCTGACTTTTTTTATTTACACAAAAAGTTTTTTTGTGACTTGAGTTTGGTAAAAAATACATTTTTCTTAATATTAAACAACACCTTAGGTAACCTTCACCCAAAGAATAAAATAACTCAAATGCCTAATTGATTCTTAGACAGGGAGACACATACATGCACAAGCTCGCTGATTGACAGCTTTTCCAGTTCTGCACTTTTGGGAGATACAGAAGGTTGATACAAGCCCTGGGAAGCATAAAAGCAGCTCAAAAAGTTCTCGAGAACTACTTTAAGGCAGAAAGCAAAGTCCTACATTAATTTTCTGCATGCTGAACCTTATTTGTATGAAGGTTCATACAGAAAAGACGAACAATAAAATACTATTATCATTGTTTTAGCCACCTTATCAGATGTCTCCCTGCTCACCTCTGATTTCAGCTAATATGACACATGCTAAAAAGAACAAAAACGTTAAAAGAAACAAAACATTAAAAGAAAGACTCCTTAAAACAACAAACTAGCCATAGCTTTTTCTCTCTCTCAATTTTTAAGAAGTTGAATTTTATACCTGAATTCAGATTATAGTAGGTTTGAAAAACAACCAGTCTTTGAAAGTGAGAAGTATTACTTTCCTGCATTGAAAATGACTTAAAGACTGAAAAAAAATGAGCTAGTAACACTTAGTTCACTCTCTGAACAGGGAGCCAGCCATTTTTTCAAAGGAGTAGTCTGTTATTTAGATCTAGCCTTTCTATCACCTAATACACATTTTAAAGACAATGTTGGGGTAGGTCATATTGATAAGAATTAATTTTATTCTTTCAGATAGAGGAGACTAACATAGTGTCTGTATAAAACATCATCTACAACACTGTTAAATTGCGTATTTACTACAAAAAATATGTAAAAAAAAAAAGATGTTGATTCAATTCCTAAACTCAAGGCTGAGAGGCAGAACTGCCTTTCAGAGGAGCTTTCACTTCTAAATTCAAATGATTTTCATCTATAACCATTTTTTACAATCACTTGAGAACACCAATAGGGACATGTTATGTCGGGGTATATATATAAGAACATCGACTGGAACTTAATATTGTGTAGTGTGCTAATGTCATATTTGACGTCTGTAGAGATGAAAATTATTACACTTTATTGTTTATAATCATTGTTAAAAGCCAATCTGGCACTCCATATGAAACAGAAATGAAGAATGTCAAGAACAGAGGAAGAAACTAATTCAAACTGAAACTTAAATTTTCAAGAAAATATTTACAAGAAGGATATATGCAAAACCAGTGATGAACTATAAAAATAACTTTGTGAGTTCTTACAAATTATTATAGCACAAAATGTTTATAAAAATGATGAGACAACATATTTCTACTTCCTAGAGGTCAAATATAACATTTCCCTCTTGCAGACAATAATTTCAGTCTGCTTCTCAATACTTGCAGTAGTCTTTTTAGATAACTTCACCTAACTGTCCACTAGCAAAGGTGTATAATCACTTGCCTAATGTCCCAATAGGGAAAAAAAAACAAGGGAGGGAATGGGGGTAGAAGCATAAGCTTGGGGCATCAGACCTATGGACACATGCAGGCTGGTAGAGACTGCAGGAAGTCTCAAGTCACAGTCCCTGCCTAAAGCAGGTTCACCTGGCAGAGGACAACCAGGCTGCTCAGGGTTGTACAAAGTCAAGGGTTGAAATCTAAGGATGGAGATGGTCCAACCTCCATGGGACCCCACCCCACTCCTGGGCTGTCCTCCTGGGAAAAAGCCTTGCTCTAGCCTCAGGTTTTTCTCTTTCAGCTTGTGTTGCTTTTCACTACTCCACCATACAAAGATGTAAAGAATGACTGCACCTCCTCCAACCCCTTCTGTTTGGGCTGGAGATGCTGCTGGGTGGCCCCAGCCCCAGAGTTATCCCTTCTCCTGGCTGATTCAGCCTATCCAACCACCTCTCCTTGAAAGGTAAAGTCTCCAGATCCACTGTCTCACCTTCAGCCAGTTTACTGATGTCTTTCAGTACTGCAAAGGTACCAAAAACAGTACCCAAAAAGAAGTGTGTTATCAAGAGTACTGAGCAGAGGGGGTTGAGTTCTTGGGGGTATGCCCTTCTCATACCTCTCATGGCTGGCCCTCATTGCTGCCTGGTTGCACGAGGCTGGCCCCGATGCAGCATGTTACCTGCCATTGCCCAGAGCTGTTCCCCAGACCAATCCCTGATCCCTGTTTGGCTGCAGGACTATGTCTTCACAGGGGAAGACTCATCAGTTGTCCTGCCTAAGGTTCCCATTGGACCAGTTCTGTCAAGGTCCCCCCAGATGGCGACAGTGCCTTCAAGCACATCCAGTTCCCCCCAGTTTGGTGTCATCTGCAAACTTCATGATCATACCCACTGTTCCCTCTTCTAGGTCACTAATAAAGATTTTAAGCAAGAAAAGTCCAGAATGGATCTTACAATACCCCACTTACCACCCCACTACAGACTATTACAACCCATAAACTACAGCTCTCTCAATCCAAACATCCAAATAGTTTCTTCAAACGTTGTTGTCCACCTATCCAGCTACAACATCCTAACTTGGGTAAAAGCATACAGCAAGGCATTGTCAAATATTAGCTAAAGTTAGGGTCAATCACAGCCAAGTTCTCCTCTTGTCCACAGACACAATCATTTTATATAAAAGACAATCAGATTGCTCAGGAGCCTTGGTAAATCCATTACTGTTTCTGGTCACATTCTCCATTAATGCCCAGAAACTACTTTCAAGATGACTTTCTTTGTGGTTTTCCCAGGGACTGAAGTGAGACTAACCAACCCTTCCTCTTGGATTATCCTTTTTATCAGAGAGTTCCCTCAATAAAAGTTCTCTACTACTTTTGAAGGACAAGTGTGTGAGAGTGCCATCAGCCAAATATCCCAGCACCCTTGGATGCAGTTCTTTTCAGGTGGTCCAAGAGATGTGTACTAGTTAAGTTCTCTCAGGTATCTTCCAACACATCAACTCTTAGCACTTCTCACTGAAGCCTGTCTCTAGGTACAAACTTTTGGAGACATCTTGGAACAGACTGAAGGAAATATGATATTTAGTACCTGTGCTTTATCTATTACATTCTGCCACGAGGTCATCATTCTGTTTCAGAAAAAGGTCCCCATTTTACTTGTTCTGCCTTTTACTGATAAAATAGTGCAAGAAACTCTTGTTAGAACTGTCATTACTTGCAAGTCAACTGCAAGTAGGTTACCACCACCCTCAAGTGCCCAAGGCAATGCTTCTGAACGCCTCCTGTATAGATTTCACTTCCTGAATACTATTTTCCACATCCACCCTGCTGTCTGTCTGGTTATTAACTCTGTTTAACCACACTGGTCTCCTGATATATCCACTTGTTTTCCTGAGCATCAGAGTGGACCATATGTGAGCTTGGAGGCAGATGTCTTTGAAGACTTGATATTTTTTCCTGAGTTCTTAATCCTTCAGTGCTGCTTCTCATGGGATTCCACTTACCAGTTCTCTGAACAAGCTAAGACTCTGTTCCTCACCTCCAGATCTGCTCTATGCTATTCTCCTTCCTTCATTGTCTCAGTGTCTTGGTCTTGACAACTTCATGGTAACTATAGCCCAGGCTGCCATTATTATTTTCTTAACCAGTTTTTCCTTGTTTGTAAACAGCAAATCCAGCTGTGTGATATCCCTGGTTGGCCCAGGCAACACCCATTCCCAGAAGTAACCTCTGTCATAGTCTAAACAACACCTTGACCTGCTTGTAACGCCACTCTGAAACACCAACGCTACTAATTCCCATCCCTGCAATCACCCGGCTGTGACACACTTTTCTCTCATAAGCGTGCCTCATCAGCCAGGAAGAGAGAGACATAAAAATGACTCTGACTGTGTTCACTGAAGGTATGGGTAATAGATTTCTAGTAATTTATCAAATATTAAAAGCACTACATTTGCCAACTTGAAAATTATTACATCGGTTCAGCACACACTAGATTCTTCCGTCCCAAGTATCAACAAACCATTTCTTGCCCTGCAAATCCCATAATCCTTTCATGATAACTCTCCAAAGGAGGGAATTTGCAAGAACTTTACTTCCCATATTAAGAGATCTGAATGAAACTCTTTACAAAGGGTTTCCATGAGCACAACAATTGGAAGCATCACCAAAACAACTGATAGTCACTACAATTAATGCACTTCAATAATGTAAAAGAACACAACATTGTAAGTATACAATTAGTCATGTAAACAATAAGAATCAAATACCTAGATATATATAAGTAGCTGTCAAACACTAAGATACCATATTTGTGGTTTATTTCTTAGAGGAATTTAAAAAAATGCTAGTCAATTTTCACCAGCAAACAAGAAAAAGTATAATTTAAATAAAAAATATTCTATACCATGCATTCAATTATTTTCTTTTTTGTTTTCTCATAAACAGTGAAAATAACTTTTTAATATATTATAAGCAATAATAAGTTCTCTCACAGAATGGAGACCTTTGGAGGCAAGCACACAATTTATTTGAAATTACTCTTAAAATTTAAAGTGTTCTTCCAAAACAACAATTATGAAGAACACCGCAACAAAATTATAGGTAAGTAAATTACACATCAAGAAAAAATTCGTGATAATACTTTTAAGCTTTTATTATTTCAGATAGATATCTATTATCTTAAAGGGCAGTATCTCTTACTTTTTAATGATTACATTTTAAGATTACTATTTGAAGTCAGATTCCTGCTTTGCAACATCAATTTTTAAAAAGCTGTGGGTCTTAAGTGAAGGAATGTAAATGAATGCAAGTCCCCACTGATAGATTTGAATATATAACTTGCTATTTAAAGAAAATAACTTGTAGTGAAATGTCTGGAGAAGGTAATTCTGTAATAATCCAGGAGTCCATTCCAATTCATACCTCTATTATGGCATCATTGCCAGATTTTTCCATTTTCCATTGTGCCTCCTGCTTCCTCAGTTTCTCCAGGTCACTTAGCAGGTCAGCACAGCATGTATTTAATCCCTTATTTTCCTCCTCCAAGTTTTTTATAACCAGTCTGTTTTGCTCTTCCTTCTTCTGTGCACACTCCTCAGTGTCCTGTAGAACAGTACCACAAGGGCCGATAAACAAAAAAAGTGAGAACTAATCAGCAAATATAAACTGTGCAGTTTTACCCTCACAGCAGCTTCTTCTATATTTGATGGCCAAGGTCACCTGTGTACTTTTATTGGCCTCTTTCATGCAGGTGGAAGGGTCATATTTTTTAGCTGGATGACAGCTTTGATGAGTACACATTTGCAAAGAGCCCATTAATTGATCAAGCTGCCTTTGATGCTGTCCCCAGCTATTTTTGAGACCCACACAGACATATCCTCCCAGACCTCGGCTTTATCAATTAATAATGCCAGTCCCATCAGAATCTAATTACAAGAAGCCACATCTTCACACTCCTACTTTCTTTGCTCCATTTCCATCATTAACTATTTATCTGAAAGTTATAAAGCTTGGATTCTTGGCTTTAAAGCATCTTCCTCAGAGCTGGTATGTGAGAAAATGGTAAGGTACAGCAAGGCCTAAGGCAATTTTTTCTCCAAGCTTGTCACTTTCTGTGCCACAAAGGCTGACATTGCTTAAAGAACTGCTTCAAAGCTACAATCTTAAGAAACGATGTACAAGTCAATATACCTTAAGTTCTTGGCTTTTATCTTTAAATTTCTGGTTCAAGGTACTGAATTCATTCTTCAAATAGGCATTTTCCTCCTCCACAGCATTTTTTCTCTGCATTAAGCTGTTTATCTCCTGGCACTGTCCTGCGAGTCTCTATTTAAATTAAAAAAAAAAAAAAAAAAAAGTGTTCATAGACAAAAAGCAATTGCAAAAGGGGATGCATGTCCTGTGTTTTAGACCTATGAAATGTAACTATCTGACATATATAGTTTTTACAGCATTGTTTTAATTTCATTAGTACTTTAATCATACTCAAAACTAAATGACTGTAAGACACAGTAACATAAATGAGGAACCCCACAGCTTGCTGCTACTGAACAAGGAAGTCAGTAAGTGCAGAACTGAATGGAAATTACTCAGTGAAGCTCATTTGCAGAAGTTTTATCTGTGCTTATGTATTTAGAACACAAATGAACATTGTTCAACTTGAACTTCTAGCACACGAAAAATCAAGCCAAAGAGCTGAGTTCAAAATTCTCCAGAATTTTGATAGTAATTAGAAATTGTTTTTAAGTGAAGCTACCAAAAAGATTATGATACAAAATAGTCGCAAAGAGAGAATTAAGTCTAGCTGAATTTGCAGCTCAAGGAAAATAATACAACACTGCTCAATGCATACAGCAGTTCAATGTACTCAAATATGATAAAATCTCACTGCCATAAAAAAAGAACTTCAAGTTTCTGTGATAAATACTTGCATTCTATTCCTATGACATTTGTACTAAAACACCCTCACTCTTAAATGCATATTAGAACTCCTCATTCTTCTCCAGGAGTCTATTTTTAATTCTACATACTGTTTTTGTCCTGCCTCTTCTTAAATCAAAGGGCATTAATCTAACATTTTCCTAGCAGTGACACTGTAACTGCAGTACAAAACTGATTAAACTTTCATGTCGGGACAAAAATGTAACTGCTCTGCCTTTAACATACAGGCTAAAATGAATGTGTTCAGAAATATAAAAAATTATCAACAAGAGGTACACCTCTAGATTAATCTACAATATTGCTGATAACATATGTAAAGGTTTTTGGTGCTCAAAGGTTACATTTGATTCACAGGTATGTAAAACATGAAAAGAAATTAAAATTTTTTGGGAAAAAACAAAACAATACATTTGAAGTCATACTTTCACCGTTCAAAATGCAAGACATTTGTGCTTCAGATATATTATTACAGTTGCAAGAACTGAGAGTTGCTGCTGAGAGATGATTTAGGTGAATTTTTAAAAAGGTATGAATCCACTTCACTATGGAAAGCATCGGTTATTTTGTGTGTTGCCCTCCCACTCCCCCGATCCTCACATAATCTGAGTAAGCAGCTCCTTTGAGTTTTCCTGCCAGCTCATCACTACTTGTTTAACATTTATCAAGACAAAGCATGTATCTGAAGCACTCTCTCAAAAATTCCACCTATCTGAAAGACACTCTTCGCTCTGAGCTAAAAATTCATAAATACACACACTTACAAAAGCTCCAGCTCTTCAAGGATCTACTTTGTGAGAGCTACATCATGTTACTATTTAGTTTCATTATCTACTGTGCGAAAACTGATAAGCACATGTATATTTGTGATGTGAAATCAAAGATATTTAGGTTCTCTTTGGAATGGGATACTTTCCAGCAATGTAAAGGATGAATGGAAACATGAAGGTACAAAGTGCTACTATTTCAAATGTTTACTCTGTATTGCTGAGATTAAATTTTCAACAGAAATAAACTACTTACTCTGCATACTTTTCAGGATAATCAGACAGATTATCCTGAGTCAGACTTCCACACAAATTACTTATCTCCACAACTGACCCCCTTAATACTTTAAATTAATCAAAAGGCAAATACACCACACCAATTACTAAGCAGTAAACTCACAAAAGTAGTCTACAAAGTCATCTACTGCAGCAGAAGCGAAACATTATCTAAGTAAGTTACACTTGCATAGAAAAAAATCCTGTTATGTTTCAAAGTATTTTTCTTGGGTTACCACTTTGCATGCTCTTATCTTTTCCTCTAAATGAATTGAAATTTTACTCTCATATCTGCTCATTTCACATTCTTACGAAGAAGGGAAAAAACCCAGAAGTATTACTTGGGAGCCATGACTGGGCAAAAATAAGGGTCATAGAAAAGAATTTCTGATACAGACAAATAAATTATCCTCTGCCCTTGCCTGTGCAGCTGTTTTTGTACATTGCTTCCTCAACCTACAAATTAACTCGTATAATAGGAGAAAGAGAGTAAAGACTGATTTCTTAAGCAGAGAACACAATCAGTGTTCCTAAAAGACTACCCTATTCTGATAGGGAAGTGAAACAAGAAGAAAGAAAAACATACCTGATCAACATACAGGGCAACCTCCTACATGAGGTTACTTTAACAGATTTCACCAGGTAAAACACTCACCAGGAATTCGTCTATTCCCACAGTATCTACTGGTGTTGGTTAGATACCATAAAGACAGGATAATGCTACATAAAACAATCTCAGCTTACACTTCGTGTTGACTCAGTTGTACTTGTTCAAATACAACAGGGCAAAAGAAATGTTTGACACCTTCATGCTCAAGAACCACAGTGGTGTTGGATCAAGGGTTGCACTTGATGATTTCGGTGGTCTTTTCCAACGTAGTTGATTCTATGATTCTATGATAACTAAAACAGCTAAAGTACACTTCCAAAGGTTATTCCATAGACAAACTTCCAAGAAAGAAAACTCTATTCTAGACATGAATTTTCTCTAATGAAAACCAAAAGAATCTGATTTTACTCTTTTGTTTAGCAGGAGCCCTAAGTGCTGCAGGCGACAGTACATACAAAGAAAGAAATGCTGTGACCTGGTGGAGCAGACCTTTTGATGTTTAAGAGGACTGTCATCCCAGAATTCTTTCCCATGGCATCTCTTAACTACAGCACAATACAATTTTTCTTCTTCCATAATATTGTTACATTGTTTACTGGAAAATACTACTTTTTTAAATACCTTCATATCAATCTGAAGAGGAAGCAAAATAACATACTAAGTCAAATAGAGAAAAGCATGAAAATGATAGATCAAAACTGAAAGGAGAAATTAACCCTTTTTTGTCTTAGTTCTGAGTACCTCAGTCTTTTCATGGCACTAGGATGTTAAAATTATTTGTCCATATTTTATGTGAACAGATATAAAACAGAAGCTTTAAAATTAAAACCTCACTTTCATCCATAGCAAATTCAGACAGTATAGAGATAGGGAAGGTGGTAACCAAAACAACTTCTTAAGACTAGGAGTCTGATTCCAAAAACAATGTGAGTTAGCATACAATTTCCAGAAGTTATGTACTGTTTGATGTTGCAGACCTAATCACTGAAATTATAGTCTTCAGTAAAAGATTTTTTTAATCTGATAAATAAAAAGCATGCAGAAAGAACTATGAAACAACAGCTCTATTTGCTATTACTGCATTAAGTATTCCCCAAATTTTTATACTTTGGAGGTCAAGGCAGGGAAAAAACTAACTCCTATCTCTATACTTTAAAATCTGATCAGACTGCACTACTAAATCAGTATTGCATACCTGCCTCTACATGAGTTCATAAATTGCAGATAAAAGCAGGTTTTACTTCACAAGTTAACTCAAACTAGAGTGAAAACATCTACCAGAAATACAAGGCTGACACATATCCTTCAGTGCTAACAATGCTACCAACATACAAATGCAACAACACACTGGTTGCTGAAGTGCTTGATGAAAAAACTCAGATCCCTGCACACAATATTAAGTTGTCCTTTTGTGACTGCAACAATGGAACATGCATTTGATTTCCACTACTGAAAGAATCAGGGTAAAAATAAACACTATATTCTGTACTTTCTTCATTGCACTCTTTATCAGAAGTTTTCACTGTGTTGTAGTCCACTTTTAAAATACCACATGAAAAATAGTAAAAATTAATACAAACTGATGAAAAATTGAAATATTTTCTCAGAAGCACTGAATTTAAAGAAATCCTGACATCTTAAGCGGAAACTAAATTAATTTAGTATTGAAATTATTTTATTAAAGCTTAAATGTGAGAATATTATTTCTTTCGCATTTTTCTTTTCGTCAAAACTTCGATTTCAATGTTTTGTGACTTATTCCCTCCCTTTCATCATCTTTTTCCTCACCAAGTAATTGAGGTTGACTTACTACACTCTTAACTTCTCCTCTCCTTCCACTTTCTCCTTTTGTTTCTAGCAGGAATTGAACAATAAGTAGACACCACTAAAAAAGTGCCAGTAACATCTCATAGCTTCCCTTGATTTAGGTTTCTTAAATCTCCCTTTAATTTCACAACTCTATTAGTCCTCTTTGTTCTAAACTTGAACACTCATATGTATGTTTAACAAATAAGTCAGTCGTATTCTCATACAGTTCTCCCAGATAAAAAAAGAAAAAAAAACAATAAAATGAACAAAAGAAATCCACTCTCTTTCATCTCATGACTATTCATTAGATTCTTTAATTATTTTCAGATGTAGAATGAACAGAAGTTCCATGTAAATAATTCATGAAAAGGTAACCATATGCTATAAAAGTCATTTGCTGCATTCTGCAGCCTGGAGTGTCCTTCCAGAGTCAAAATGACACTAGCTAGTTATAATATAAATCAGAAGTTATTTTTAAATCTATACTGCTCTGAAAGTAAAATGTCAACAGTGCTACCTGATTCTACAGTAGACAGATTCCAGAAGATACTTGTATTCACAGCTAACTATCCAACTTAGAACTTGACTCCTAACAAGGATGAAAAACCAAGGAAAAATAGTAACTGACATATAATGAATTAAAATATAACTCATGCAACAGTATTTTGAATGCATATCCCATTATTAATTCCTATTTTTCATACCTAACCTTCTGCTAGAACAATCTTAAATAAATTAAAAAACCAAGCACAAATAGAGAGTAATTAAAGTAGGGGAGCTCATTGGATTTTCATACTAGCAGAAGTTGGTTTGTTCTTCCTCATCCAATCCCATGCTTTCCAGGATTCCCTGAGATTAAACAATTAAAAAAATTGTTTCTGATGAAAAGTAATATGAAACTGCAAGCAGGCACCTATAAATGAATT